TTTCTATTTCTTCATTGTCTAGGTTGAACTTATGAAGGTCCTTGGTGGCTCTTATTTTTGTTTTCTTTATGTTCAACATTAAGCCTGCCTTTGCACTTTCTTCTTGGATCTTCCTTAGGAGGTCTTTCAGGTCTGTGAGGTTTTCTGCTAGTATTATGGGGTCATCTGCATATCTCAGATTGCTGATATTCCTTCCTCCTATTTTCACTCCTCCCTCTTCCATGTCCAAGCCTGCTTTCCTTAAAATATGTTCTGCATATAAGTTGAACAGATAGATCAAAAGGATGCAGCCTTGTCTGGCCCTTTGTCAATTGGGAACCATTCTGTTTCTCCGTCTTCTGTTCCGACAGTAGCCTCTTGTCCTGAGGACAGATTCCTCATCAGGACTATCAGATGTATTGGCACTCCCATGTCTTTAAGGGCGTTTCATAGCCTTTCATGGTCTATGCAGCCAAAGGCTTTGCTATAGTCTAGAAAGCACATGCTGGTTTTCTTTTGGAATTCCCTGGTTTGTTCCATTAACTATTATATGTTTGCAATGTGATCCCTGGTGCCTCTTCCTTTCCTAAACCCTGCTTGGACCTCTGGGATTTCTCTCTCCATGGATGGTTGGAGTCTATGCTGCAGAATTTTGGTGCGTGGGAGATCAATGTTCTGGTCCTATACTTGCCTCTTGTCCTGAGTTCAGATTCATCACCAGGACTATCAGATGTGCTGGCACTCCCATGTCTTTAGGTGGACTACATATCCCCCCCCCAAAAAAAAATTATTCCTGGAAGGGGATGGCAGTCCTGGTTATGGGGGACTGTAGTTCCACCAATTTTAATAAAAAATAACTTTCCCTAGTATAAAAGAAAAAAGTAACTTCCCTTTCACCTGCCGCCCAGCAGCAGCAGCAGCAGCACGTGGCGCGAGCGCACCTGACAGCTGGCGCCGGGAGCGCCTCAGCCAATGGGAGCGCGCCAGGGGCGTGGCTTCGAAGCCGAGGGGGCGTGTCCGCGGCGCCTATAAAAGCCCAGGTGAGGCGAAAGTGACGGAAGGGCTGGAGCAGCGTGCTTCTGAGGCGCGAGGAGCGGGGGCGTCGCTGATTGGCCAGGGAGTCCGGCGCGTGGGCGGGCGCGAGGGCGGTGGGCGGGGGCCAGAGAGCGAGGAGAGCGGCC